GAATGAAATTTTTTTGCAAAAAATAAAAAAAGTGTTTGTCATAAAAATAATGATAACCCCATGCTGCACAAACAACTGCATAAAAAAAATAAAAAACCCATGCTGCAGATAGTTCTAGTGTATCTTGTCAATAGACAAAAGATCTTAAGGTCTTCAGCTCCATTTTTTTTCAATGTGTATGAGTGTATTGCCTGCATGTGTGTAAGTGCACCTGTGTCGTGTGATGCCTGTAGAGGTCAGAAAAAGGCATCAGGTCTCCTGGAACTGGAGCTACAGATGATTGTTAACCACCATGTGGATGCTGGGAATTGAACTCGGGTCCTCTGCAAGAGCAGTCACTGCTCTTAACCACTGAACCATCTCTCCAGCCCCAGCTCCAATCTTTTATTCCTTTCTTACTGATGGAATTTTGTATTCATTTCTCTTTGCTGGATGACTCAACTGGATCAGGGTGGGGATGGTAAGAAAGCTTCAGGAATGGTTGAATTCTCAGCTGATGGATCCACTGCTTTTGTCTGTCATCTTGTGGTTTAGGGTTCTCTGGGCATCTGCACTGGTAATTGAAGTTGCTGCCATACCAACGTTGAGGTGGCTGCTCACCTTGGGTCTCATCCCCTTGATTTTCCTTGACTTCTTCATTGCGATCCTCTCTAGGCTGTTCTTGGTGAGGAGGGCCCCCACGGAATTGTGGTCTATACCTATACATACTCTGCCTCACTGATCTCCCTAGCTCTCCTGCACCCTGCTTGTCAGCACCCTCCATCACTTCTCCCTGAACAGGAGGGTTGGCATATTGTGGTTGACATCCATAGGATCTCTGCATGTAGTAAGACTGGAAATTTCACCTGAGTTGTTGGGCCTGGCCTTTCAGGAGCACTCTCCAATCCCTCATTCTTTTCCTCAGTCTCATTATTCTGGTCATTCTGCTGATAATTGCGTGGAGGGCCCCTACAATGTGGACAGTGTCTGTAATGGTTATGGTCCACTGTGCATTTATTGCCCTGACCTGGAACTCCACCAGGGCCTGTAATACTTGCTGCCTCTGCACCCTTTTCTCCTACTGCACACTCCACAGTCTCCCTATCTCCTACACTGCGAAGGTGCTTCCTGGGGCCGTTCTTCCTTATGGCAGTCTGGTGTACACATACGTCTTCTTTGGTGTCACTCCTGTTGAAACCATATCCGTCTCTTACATTGAACCATCTGACTTTTCCCCAAACCTTCCTTGTGATGACCTTTTTATTCCCACCTGCAGGATGCCTGCGTGACTGCCCATTGTGCCAGACTTGGTGTAGGCGGCACTGAGGGTAGGGTGGGGGTGGAGGGGCAGGTGGCTGTGGATCCTGACCTCACTGCTTGCTCATGGTTGTAGTGATGGTGACTGGGGGAGGTGGGAGGAGGTCTGAATGTGATCAAAATACCTCATACGAAATTCTGGAATCAAAGGAACTTAAAAAAAAAAAAAAAAAACAACTGGGGCTGGAGAGATGGCTCAGTGGTTGAAAGCATTGGCTGCTCTTGCAGAGGATCTGTGTTTGGTTCCCAGCACCCACGTGTTGGCTAACAATCATTTTTAATTCCAGTTCCAGGGGTCCATCACCCTCTTCTGGCTTCCACAAGCACTGCATGACATATGTGTGCTTATATCATGTATGCAAAACACTCACACATAAAATAAAAATAAGTAAACCAAAAAAAATTAAAAAGAAATAAAGAAAACTAATAGAGAAATTGGTACCAGGAGTGGGGTGTTGTTGTGAAGAATTTGACCATGTTGTTTTTTTGTAGGACTGTGGAACACTTTGGAATTTTGGAATAGGAAGCAGTTTAATGCTATAATCAGAGCTTAATGGGCTGTTCTGGTATGAGTCAGGATTGTAGAGGCCAGGTTCAGAATATTCCAGAAGGAGAGGATAACAAGGACTTAAACAGCATTTGGGATATTTTGGCAAAGAATCTGGCTACCTTCTGCCCACAGCCTAGGAATTTGCCTATAGCTACTTAAAAAGTAATGGTGGTGGTGAGGGCTGGAGAGAAAACTCGGTGATTAAGAACACTGGCTGCTCTTGCAGAGGACCCAGGTTTCGTTCTCAGCACCCTCATGGTGGCTAATAACTCTCTGAAACTCCAGTTCTAGTGGGTCAAACACCTTCTCCTGATCTCTGGGGGCATTGGTCACACATAGTGCACTTACATACATGCAGGAAAAATACTCATAGCCATAAAAAAAATCAAAAAATAATTTAAGTAATGGACTAATTTCTTTGGTGAAGGAAATTTCAAGACAGCATAATTTTGAATCTGTGGGTTGGTTATTACTAATAAATGTTATGCAAGTTTACAATGAATAAGAAGTAGGGCAGAAGGAAATATAAAATGTACAGTCTGGAGAGAAAGAGAGTACTGGGAAGGCCAAGACATGTTATGGGAGAGGCTGTAACTGATAAGGATATTAACTGCATTAAGAAGAGGTGTCCTGCTCTTCACTAGAACAATGGAAAGAGTGCCCTTAAGCTTCCAACTTGTGAAAGAGAGCCTAAGGTGTTTTCTGTTCCTAGAAAATCACTACGTACAAATGCTCCTGGTAATGTGGATGAAGTAGGCCAAGGTCCAGCCCAAGCCAGCAGCTGAATTTGGCAGTGTTGTCTTCATAGTACTGATTTTAGAGAAATGAAAGATTCAAGAATGAAGGGATCATTGGTTCTTTCTCTGTGGTTTCAGAGACCCACTGACGCCAGGCAGTGTGTTGCAGGGGAGTCTCTACATGATGAAGGCCCTGGGAGGCCGTTGCATGAAGCTGTGAAGGTGAAGCCTGGGTTGCAGTGGAGACCTCAAGATGTTGCGGATGCCAGAGCCATGAGACATCTGCCAAGGAGAGCTGCATACAGGGAGCAGAACCAGCCCAAGAGAGAGTACATGTTGCAGACAGCAAAGTTGGAGGGGTGGAGCCATCTAAGTCTTTTGGAATTAAAGTCCCAAGGACATGGAACTACAGGATTTAGTGTTTTCCCTGCTGGGTTTCAGTCCAGTTTTGGTCCCATATTTTCTCTCTGTGCCTGCATTCCTCCATTTTGAAATGGAAATGCATATTCTGTGCCAGTGTATGTTAGAAGTATGTAATTTGCTTTTTTTTTTATTTCACAGAGAGTAACAGTTAAGAGATGGTCTTGTGTCTCAGAAGAGACTTTGGACTTCTGAACAGTGTTCATATTGTTAAAGATGATGGAAACTTTTAACGTTGGACTAAATGCATTGTGTTTTATGATATGGTCATGGGTCTATGAGGACCAGAGTGTGGAATATGGTGGTTTGAATGAGAAGTGTCCCCCATAGGCTCAAGTATTTGAATACTTCGTCAGTTTGGGGAGGGTCATGGAAAATGTAGGTGGTATAAAGGAAGCACATGCCTGGGGGTGAGCTTCGAAAGTTCATAGCCTAGTCCCACTTTCAGTTGCTGTGTTTCCTGTTTGCTGTTGGAGATGTGAACTCTCTGCCTCTTGTTCTGGCCACCATGCCTGCAGCTTGCTGCCAAGCTTCCCTGCCATGGACTCATCCCTCTGGAATGATAAACCCAAAGAAACTTCCTTTTGTAAGTTACCTTGATCAAGGTGTTTTATCATAACAACAGAAAAGTAACTAATACACTGTATAAATTACACTTCAATAAGACTGTTGTCAGAAGGAAGCCTGAATGTCCATGGAATTCTCTGTTGTGTTGTAATAGAATCACAATGGGTTGATGAATATGATCTTGGACACTTATGATGCCTAATATGAGAGATCTTCAGGCTTTATATTTAACCTTGTCCTACTACAGCTGAGGAAACTGAGGCAGTGATGGGAAGTGACTTGTCTAGAGTCACCAGCCATGGTATACTGTGGTGAATGATGGTGGCCTCACAAGGCCTTTGCACAGGTCCAGGCTGTGCCCTTCCTCCAAACCCCTGTTGAGGCCAAGAATAGAGACTACACACAAGTTTGTTGTTTTGTTGCCAGTGTCACTTTATTTGGGATATGCTAAGGCCAGGGCATGGATCCTAGGTCTGAGTTGGGGGAGTGGGCACTGAAGGAAGTGGTGAGTTCCACGGAGCCCTTTGTGGGGGGATGAAAATGGACAACATCCAGTAGAGCCTGTTAACGCTTCGAGAAATCACCACCTGTGGATGGATGAGAGAACTGGGCCAGTGAGAGGGAGCATGCTCAGGCCAGGAGGAGCTGGGGCAAGGGCAGTGGAAGAGGAGGTGGAGCTGCCTGGAAGGAGCCCTGTGAAGCCAGTTCTCTACTGCCCTCCACCCAGGTTGCCTTGGCTCCCTGCCTGCTGTTTTTTCCCCCACACCTGGCAAACAGTGTGACCTCAGTACACATTAGGTACAGTAATAAGAACTAAGCACGGCCAGATACTTCATACGCATGCTTTTCCGAAGTCCCTCCAGCAAAGCCTATTTAAAGGATGGGCTTAGGGGTACCCAACAATTAAAAAAATGAACTGGGATGTGAACAAGGTATGATTTACTCCGAACATCCAAACAAGATTGGAGGAAAAATAAATAGAATGTGAGATGGAGTAAGGATCAGATCAGATCAGAACTAAAGGAAAAGAATGGGGCGTGTCTGTGCAGGGCCTGAGGCCCTCCAGAGTCCAGGCCCCATCCATGCGGAGCCCCGCCCCTTCATCTAGACCCTACCCCGCCCACCAGAAGCCCCGCTCCTCCGTCTCCGCCCTACCCAACCCAGACCCACCCTGGCAGGCGCTGCACTGGCAGCTGTGGATGACCGGAAGGACCACAGGCTCTGTGTGGCCGCCGGGGCAGCGCAGGTTCAGGATCCGCACCGGGGTCCAGGCGGTAGCTACAGCATTCGCACTGGCTCTGCAGGTATGGCTCCTGAGCGAGAGAGCCAAATGGTTTCCCTCCCTTTCTCCCTGCCTTTCCATTCTAGAGAGAGGGCCGAATCCCAAGGTAGCTTGGGGTGGGGAGTGTTACCACTAAGCCCCCTTCCCCAAGAAGCCCAATTTCTGCACTCCAGCCCCCGCCCATCTGAACATCCAACCACCTACAGGTTAATGCAGGTAAAGACATGGCTTCCACCCTAAGGGGCTCTGGGTCTAGATGGGTAATATATGAAACTGCAAACAATTGAGTTGACGTGCACAGTTGTGACCCTAAGCACAGTTGCCTTTCCAGAGCACACCCTCTTGCATCGCAGAACACATGACTTAATTTATAATTCTATTTTGAGACATTCAAATAATATCAAGTTCAAAAATTGCAGAAGTTGTATCTCCTAACTACTTTCTTCACTCTGTATTTTAAAAGTTCTTTAATGCCAGCACTTGGAGGCAGAGGCAGGCAGAGCTCTTTGAGATTGAGGCCAACCTGGTTTGCATAGTGAGTTCCAAGCCTGCTGTAGCCACAGGGAGAGCCCGTCTCAAAAACAAACAAACAAAAAAACAAAACAAAGTTCCAAAAGTGGTTTGGGAAAGCATTCCTGGGAAGCACAGGGGGAGGAACAGCATCTTTGGGGACAGACCGGGAACTAAGCACAGTTGTCTTCCAGCACTAACAAACCCGGGTGAATGGACACAAAAGAGAATGGCCTCAGAGCAGATGTGAGGCTCTGGGAGCCAGGAGCTGGGTCTCCATTCAAAGAGAATGCAGGTGGCCTGAGTCACAGCTCTTCAGGTTCTAAGCTAAGGGAGTCAGGGTATGAGGCACCTAAGGAGTTCCTGATGACAGGCAGGGCTCCACTTCTAGGTCCAAGCCCGGCAAGCAGAAAGAACTGACTCTGGGCCTGCTCAGGTATCTTACAGGGAAAGCCAGGGAGTATTTATCAGTAAAAAGCCAACCCTGGGCTCCCTCCAGCTGTCAGTATGACGGGTATGGGTGTCTGGACTGTTTGCCAGGTGACACAGTGGGCTTAGCATGCTCTGGCGATGAGTGCGGCCCCAGCTCTGTCAGCTCTGTGATCCAGGTGGCAGGGATCTCTAGTGAAGTTTTGGAGTTCTGTGAGGTGCCTGCAGGAGGCTGGCTCTGACTCTGAGCCAGCAAGTGTTGGCAGGAGGTAACAAGATATAGAAATAGGTTGTGACTGAGGGGACTTTAGGCAAGGGCACAACCTGGGAGAAATGGAGACACTCTAATCCCGATGCAAGCAGGCTTGGGGAAGGTAGGAACATGGCAGGCTGAAAGGCTGGGTGTAAGATGGTGGGGCAGAAAAGTCCAGACCAGAGACAGGCATAATAGGGGTACCCATACCCTTCATATCCAAAGTGTCCTGTTGGCAAGTGGGACAACAGCTCCCTGGCTCCTGTACCATCACTTCACCCTACAGGGAACCATCCATGATCCACTCAGGAGGACGGCCCATTTCCCCACATTGCCTGCCCAGAGATCCTAAGACCATCTGTGGAGGGAAGGAGCTATGGAGCTGCCCAGAGGGCTGTAGGTCACTGGGTACCTGAGCACAGGTGAGACCTGGGCAGTGCCATGTGCAGACACTCCTCCCACTGAGGCAGCGGCACCTCTCACAGGCCTCCTGTCATTCAGATCCAGGCTGTGGGGAGGGCAGAACTTCCAGTTAGTTTCTCCCAGATTTTCTTTATTTTATAATATTTTGTTTATTATCTTTATGTGTATGAGTGTATTGCCTGCATGCGTGTAAGGGCGCCCATGTCATGCAATGCCCCTGGAGATTAGAAGAGGGCATTAGATTCCCCTGGAACTGGAGTTAGCCACCATGTGGGTGCTGGGACTCAAACACGAGTCCTCTGTAAGAGCAGTCAGTGCTCTTAGCCACTGAGCCATCTCTCCAGCCCCAGAATTTTTTTTTAAAGATTTTATTTTTATTTTTAAATTGTGTGTGTGTGTGTGTGTGTGTGTGTGTGTGTGCGCGCGCATGTGAGTGCATGTGCCCATGAAGGCCAGAAGAAGATATAAGGTACTTTAGAGCTGGAGTTATAGGCAGTTATGAGCCACCAGACATGGGTGCTGGGAACTGAACTTTGTTCTTCTTTAAGAACAGCATGTGCTCTTAACTGCTGAGCCACCTCTCCAGCCCTCCAGATTTTCTAGGAGAACACTTCAGTCCTAAACCCAGTCTGGGAGTTCCAGTCAGAGCAGTGGACTAGCACTGGAACCTGGCTGGGGAATTCGCAGGAGTTCAATGCACTAGAGCCAGGCGGGTTGAATTTCAACCCAGGGCCAGTTGAGGCTAGACAAGGCAGAGTCTGCCCACTGCTGCAGGCCCAGGAGTCGGGGAGCCCAGAGAGGTAGAGATACAGATCAATAGGTGGGGCGTCCTTGGGCAAGGAGGGGCAGCTGGTGTCTCACCAAGTGGCGCCGTGACTCACAGTGGTCTTCAAGGACGCAGGAACCTGCCTGGCTGTGGAAGTGCCCCGGCTGGCACACACAGCCTGGAGCCTGTACTGCAGTGCAGTTCCCATGAGCCAGTGTTGTGTTCAGCTCTGGGCATGTCTGTTCACAGAGCCCAAGTTCCCCAGGGCTCACTTGCTGCCACATTTCTCCAGGAGGACATTTGGCAGGAAGACCATCCGCCCATTGTCTCTGGTCAGCCCTGCATTGGACCTAGATGGCCCGCTCCACCAGGCACCCCTCAGGTACCGCAGCTGTCCCCTTCCTATGCCACCTCATGGCTCCAGCAGCCATTAGCTGTGCCTCTCAGATCCCTTCAAATACGGGGCCCAGACAGGTCTCACCCTCTGACCAATCCTGTCCACCTGATTTCTACATTCTTGGCACTCTGTACCATCCTGAGGGTGCTGCTTACTTGTCAGAAACTCGAAGACTGTTCTGGTGGGTAGCCCACCTTCAGCAGCTAGGCAGAGTGCTGGGGACGTTGCCAGACCTGTGGGCAACACCACAGGTGGAATGCTGAGGGCCTGGGGTTTTGTCAGTCCAGGTCCCTCTTTTCCACTCATCCCTCTGGACCTCAATTTCATCATTAGCAGGAAGCAAGCCTTGCTGGCCTCACTCACAGCTTGGCTCAATGTCCACGCACTGTACTTAGGGATTACCCCCACGAGTAGACATGTGCAGTACCCAAGGAGTGCAGGGTAGGGAGTGCTGGGCCTCAGAGCAGGAGGCGGCCCATGTGGACAGGGAGAAGACACTTCCTGAAGGAAGTAGCTCGGCCTGGGTTGTAGGCAGGGCCCCCTTCCCTTGGCTTTGGACTGGGTTGTAGGCTGGGCCCCTTTCCCTTGGCTTTGGACTGGCAAAAGCAGCTGTGTCTCACCCTGACAGTCAGTGAGGTTGCAGCTGAAGACTCCACCTTGGCAGATGCTGGGAAGACAGAAGCAACTGCTCAGAGGCCCCCTGGCCCCAATCCCCCCCACCCCATTCTCAGAACCCTGCCCTCCACCCGGGGCCCCTTCTTGGCCTTTGGCCCTCACCAGTGTGTGCAGTTCCATGTGAGCACAGTCCCTGGGGGCAGCTCCTGGGCCTGCTCTTCAAAGGGCAGGGTGAGGCCCCAGGGCAGAGAAAGCTGGGTGCAGGGGCCGGCAGCAGGGGCCACACACAAACCGTTGTGTAGCAGCTAAGGTGGGCAGATCAGTTACACTTGGATTCCTGCCCTATGCCTTCACACCAGCCTGCTTCCCCCACAGAGAAATCAGAACCCACACCAGACTCGCCCGTCCCCCAGGGCAGCCACAGCCAAGCTGGCAGGGTTCCCGAATGCAGATGCTGCCAGGCTGCAAGTGGGAGCAGAGGCTCGGGCACATTGTGGCACAGGTACTGAGCACCTGCACTCTAGGGAGCATAATGAGGTGGAAGCGCCCGGGTTATAGACTGCCTCTTCTCCCTGCCTGCCTGGGCCAGCAGCAGTGGAAGACTGGACCAGCCACAGGTGCAGGCAGGGCACTCACCAGGGCAGGGTTTCGGGCTGCACGCTTGCTGTGGCTGCAAGTCCAGGGCCTGACAGGGCGCTCCCCCAGGACGCTCCTCACAGCTTCGATGTCGTTCCATGATGCCCCCACCACAGGCAGCTGAGCACTGGCTCCAAGCTGACCAAGGTCCCAGGACTGGACACTCAAGGTGTGGACACACCAGGGATCCACTGATGCATGTGCTGTGGACGAGGCTCAGGCCCCAAGTTGGGACAAAGCAGCACCCATAGCCTTGGCCTGGCCCCATGCCAGCCACCCAAAGCCCCTAGTGTGATTCGACACCATGGCAGCATACCAATTATAGCAGTCCAGTTGGGCCACCTGGATTGGGGCCAGCTCCCAGGAGGCATTGGCCCTGGGAAGGCCACAGCAGCAAGAGGAGATGGACACACAGCGTCCGTCCTGCACCAGCTGACCAGGGGGACATCTGCAGCCTGTGGAGGACGACTAAGATTCAGTGCTTGAAAAAGGTTTGGGAGTGTAGAAGGATGACTATTAGGGAAGAGGAAGAGGATCAGGAGGAAGACTGGGAGAATGAAGGGGTGCGGGAGAGTATGATCAAAGTAGAGTCTATGCGTGCATGAAAACGTGGCAACAAAACCCATCATTTTGTACAGTTAATACGTGCTAATGAAAAGGCTAAAAAATTTTTAGTGCTTGGGGAAATGTCTGTATAATGGATCCCTCCAGCAGCCAGACTGGGTTCAAAGCATGGTCTTCATGCATGGAGGTACCCCCGGGAACCCTTTTAGCCATATGTGACATCCTCCTAAATACAGCAGATCTTGTTTATTTTGAGAAAGGATCTTGCTATATAGCCTAGTTTGGCCTTGAACTCATAATGTATCCCAGCCTCCTGCCTTAGGCTCCAGAGTACTGAGATGTACAGATGCGACCCGCATGGCCGGAGACTCAGCAGGTTTTGATGGAGTCTCAAGGAAGGACTCAAAGTGGCTAAAAGTGGCTAACTTTCTTGTCCTCTCATGCTAAACAGTCTGACGTTTCCCTACTCCACCCCTACACCTACAGTTAAGAGCACCCAGGCATCCCAGAATCCCTAGGCCAGGCCATGATGTGGCCAGCTACCTGGGCTGCAGGGTCCCTGTAGACACTGCACACCATCCCAGAGGTCGATACAGCTTCGAGGACATTGGTTGGCACAGTCAAGGGTAAACACGGTGCCCTGGCTCTCGCAGCTCTCCCCTGGGGTCCAGAAGTAGGAGTCTGTGCTGGGATACTCCTGACCCCCCCAGAGCAGCTCCTCCCTTCCACTGCGCACCTCCAGAGCAGAGGCACCAAGCCCTTTTGGGGGCCATTTCCAGTGTTCAATTTCAGCCCCCTCAGGATGGTGGTTACCTGGGCAGGACCCCATGTTACAGCTCTCTGTCTGAGCCCAGGGTCCCTTGCAGTCTTCTCCAGGGGGACCTCCTGCCTCTCTCCAGCACAGCCGGAATCGGCCACTGCAGGGCACCTGGCAGGAGCTCCAGGGTCCCCAAGGACTCCATTGGCATATATCTAGTGAAGAATGGAAATCTTTGCCTCAGATCCCACCTTCCTACATCCACCCCAGGCCTTGGCTCCACCCCTGGAGACCTGTCTTGAGATCCCCAAGTTCCCTTTCTTCTAGCAGGTACTGGCACTCCACCACAGCTCAAACCCAGACCCCTGGAGTGAACCTGTGGCCAGCCCCACCTGGGCCCTGACCTGCCACCAGTATGCCAGGCCTCTTTTGCCTGCTGGCCTGAACCCTCCCTTACCACTCCAGGATCAGGGCAGAGGCGTTGTTGGCTGAGAGCCACAGTACAGAGGTCAGGGTCTCTGGCCCAGGGTCTCCCTGTCTCAGGGTCCAAGCAGAGCCAGGGTCGGTGTTGCTCTGAAGCCAGCAGAGGAACCGAGGTTGGAGGGAAGCCTATTGGGTCCAGAGGCCAGCGCCCCTCAAGGGCTGTCCTGGAGGTAGGGCCAAGGTGCTTCGGGGCAGGCAGGGCCCATAGGGTGACCACTCCGACCAGCCATTCAGAGGCAGAAGACCTAGAGGAGCAAAGGACTTATGCTGGTCTCAGGGACTACTCAATTCAGAGAGCCCAGTGGGCAGGCAGGAAGGGCTCAGGATCACACCCAGGAAAGGTAGCAAATAGGAAAGGCTGAGGGAGGCGTGGGGTTAGGGATGCCATTTGTCTAGGATTGTCTTGACTTTAGCAATGAGAGTTCCATATTCTGAAGTCCCCGCCCTGAGCACAGACGGGTCTCCCAAGGCCAGAATTACCTTCGCAGCCCCAGCTGGAACACTGCAGCTCTCCATGCTGGCACTCACTATGAGAGGGGGACATCAGGGTAGGATGTGGGAAGCTTAGGAACAAGCCCAGCTGGGGGTATGTGTCATCTAGTCCCAGGGCTGGGCACCCTGGGGCACATTTTCCCAGGCTGAGCTGGGCCTGGGGGGCTTAGGTCGGACTCTACTGGGTCAGGGTATCCCTTGCTCACCCTACTTCTGGCTTCAGCTTGCTACCTTTTCTCCCCACGTTACTCACCGTTCCTTACAGCCCAGCTACAGGTGGTCCCCAGGGGCCAGGGTCACTCTAGCTCCCTCTCCTGAGGTATGGGAGCAGTTACACTGCTCTGGGAGAATGCAGTCCCCACCTTGCTCCAGCAGAAGGAAAAATGAAGGCAGTTTGCAGCTGGGAAGAGACCACCGTCACCCAAGTGCCCAGCACCATGTTGGCTTCTAGCAGTACACAGGTGCTGAGCCCATGTTTGGGGTGGTGAACACCAGGTGGATATGGCTCCCAGCACAGGAATGTCTCCCCAGCTTCTAGTTCTCACCTTGGGGCAGTAGCAGCCAGGCTGACAAGGTGGCAGGTCCTGGCAGAGCCGATGGCTCAGGTATGTGGCACAGAGCGCAGCGCAAGGGGAGCCACAAGACTGGAACTCAAAGGGAGATGGGTAGCTGTCCTCTGAGGGGAGAGGGAGGGAGGCTGGTAGAGGAGCAGCCCAGAGACACTGCCCCCCGCCAACCACAGCACATGCTGCATGGTCCCACTGCTGAGGATCACCCGTTGGTAAGTACAAGACTGTCCCTCTGTTGTCTGTCAAGAAAGACTAGCACCCTCCAACCCCTTCTCCTTAATCTAGCACCTGCACAGCTCATGTGCCCCAGGGAAGGATTAGGACAGCTGGACCTCAAGATCCAGGACGATGCATGGAGGAGGGTCTGAGGGAGCGAGGGCTCTGGTGGGTGCTCTAGGGATTGGGAGATAGGGGACAGAGGGACAAGATGTAGGACAGCTCCAATAGATGCTAGGCAAGACACATTGCATCTGAGGCAGTTACATGGGACAAAGCGCAGTGGCACTAGCAGCTACAAAGTGGGTGAAATGCGAGACACTATGAGGTGTATAACTAGTGGGGTGGGATGGAGGGGGCGTGACTGTAACCAAGGAAGGGGTCAGTGCAAACCCTGGTTCATTGCACTGTGGTCCTGGGGGAGGTGGGTCTGCATGAGGGCAGCTGCCCCTCCTCAGCTCCCTGGCCTCTCCCTCCTGTGCCTCACCAGAGCAGTTGGCAGCGGGGCATGGCCGGAAATGGCCATCCAGACGCATGAAGGGGGGGCCTTCCCTGGCCCGGCCAGGCACTGGCCCCTGGTGTCGGTAGCGCTGCTGCAACAGCACCTTGCATGAGCAGTGAGTCCAGCTGCTCCACTCACTCCATATACGGTCCTCTAGAGATGGGCAGGGATGTCAGCTGGGAGCTCTCAGAGCTCCCACAGCTTCTCCCATGCCCCCCACCCCTGCCCTATCTGGGACCCAGCACAGGAAAAGGGCAAGAGGCAGCCATGGATTCTGAAAGGCCCTACTGACTGGGTTCTCTCTCGATGGGCAAAGAGGGCACGTAGCAAAGGGCTTTGATGGGCACAAAGCACAATGCTGCAGGGGAGGTGGAGGGACATTTCAGAAAGATAGTCTAAAGTTGGGAAAATATTTATTCCCTGGAATTTCCCAAGGTGAGAAAGCGGGAGAGCTTTGCTCCTGGGCACACTTACCCAGGCAGGGCCCTGGGTAGCAGGCCTGAGTGTCCAGGCGTGAGAAGGTGTCATTGCACAAGGGATCTGCTTTGGTCAGCAGGCAGGGGCAGGACTCAGAGCAGGAGGCCAGGCCTGGGCCACAGCTGCGGAACAGGGTCCCCAGGGGCCCCAGGAGCAGGTCTCCAACAGCTGCAGGCATGGTTGCTGCCCGCAATACTGAGTCTGGATGTCAGGGCCCTGGCAGGGTGGGCTCCCATGCTGAGGGGCTGGCACCAAGCAGGCTCGAGTGCGGACCTGGTTTCCACCTCCACAGGAGACAGAACAGTGGGACCAGGAGGACCACAGCATCCAGCCCCTGGGCACTGTGGGAAGGCACAGATGAGATTAGAGTGCCAAAGACCCAGACGTAAGGTGGGGACCCTCATGACCCAGAGGGTAGAACTGGGTGTGTGTTGAGGGATATGGGACATAGAGCAGATGGCCGTCAAGACACAAGGTCAGTAAGGTGGGCTGAGTTGGGGGACAGATGAAGCCCAAACCTGCACACTCGGTGTCTTCACAGACCACACCCTCCAGGGTGCCGGAGCTGGAAAGAACCTGGACTCAGGAACCTGCTCTCCAAAAGGAGAGTGGGTCACCCTTCCCTGGCCTACACTTACCACTGCTGGCACTCTCCCTGCAGCCAGTTGTCCCCCAAGGTGCAGGGGTGGGCGTCCTGTAGGCACAGGGGCGGGCAGGGGGCCTCAGAGCAGGACTGACTCTGCGACTGTTCCTCCTGACACTCTGGGGCCCATAAGCCTGACATGGAGGACCTGAGCAGGGCCGAGCAGAGGAAGGAACAAATGCCTAGTGTTCTACATAGTCCTTCTGCCATCAAGGGGAAACTCTGGGGTGGGCATGAGGGTAGCTACAGAAAGGCCTGAGTGATCAGCACAAACTGGTCCAGAATATGGGGTGGAGCAAAGTCACTGATGAAAGAAGGACCTGGGAATGCTCTGTTAGAGAGGGGACAGGTCAGACAGAAGGACACCCAGCCCCATACCTGAAGCGGCTCTGCTGCCCTCCAGGCCCACATGAAGGACTGCAGGGACTCCAGGCAGACCAGCGACTCCAGGCACAGCGGGCAGGAGGCGGGCAGAGCTGAGAAATGCAGGAGAGCCACCCAGCCTGGCAGGAGCAGTTGTTGTAGGAGTCTTGATGTTGGCTCCCTGGGGCCCAGCTATGGCCCTGGGCATCTGTGCACTCACAGTGCTCCACTGGCACGCAGCCACCATCCTGCTCCAGAGACCCTGTGGAGAGATGGCCCTCAAAGGCTGATGCTGGTATCCAGACCACACCTGCCTTCTCACTGAGTGTTAACCTGAGGTGCCTAAAGGACCTCTGGCACGTACCTTCAGAGCGGCGACAGCCTGGCTGGCAGACCTGGCCTTCCTGACACACGACTCCCTCCTGCAAATCTGAGCATTGGTGGGGGCAGCGGTTAGCACAGCTCACTAGCTCCATGCCTGATGGGCAGCCTTCCTCTGAATGGGGAGGGAGAAGGCCCAGTGTCAAGAGGACCTGGAGCTTCAGGACCCTTCTCCTTCCTTATCAGGGACTCCTAGAGGCTCCAGGTCCTTTGCTCCACATTTGTGTCTGTTGAGACATGGGAGGTTTGGGGAAGTCCTAGGATGGGTCCACTCTAAGTGCACAGTAAGCTCTTTCTACCTCCAGTGAGTTATCAGCACCTAGCTAGGCACCCAATAAGTGTTTGCTGAGCTGGACTGAATTTGTGCATCTCAGAAGCTAGGAGAGAGCCCTGATGTGATGAGCAGGGCAGTGTGCAGAGTGAATGGGGAATCTCGCAGTAGAGAGGGTGAGCTCTGGAGTAGCCAAGGCTCTTGAGGTTAGGGAGCTTGGGAGAAGCAAGAGGATGAATATGGGAGAGGGTGGGGCTCACTTATAGTCTCTGATTCAGTTTACATCTGGAAGGACGAGGCACACCTCTGACCTCACCCCTCAACCCGTCAGAAACCTTGCCAGAGCTGGATGGTTCTCCAACAGCTAAAGGGCAGAGAAAGCTGGGCAGGTGACAGATCTTTGCAGCTCAACTCTAGGCCACGAAGGACCCAGACACACACAATATGTCCCTGCCCAGTACTCAGATCAGCCATCCCTGCCCCAGGTCAGCGAGGTAGCAGCCTGTCTTCTATAGCCCATTACGTACAGTGAGGATGAAATTAGAAGTAGGGTGAAGAGGGCTTTGCAGAAGGAAGCTCAGTAGGCAGGAAGTGGCTGTTTCCACTGAAGTACCACACGGCATGGGATTGCAGAGTCGGGCATGGTGCCTTTCCCCGACACAGGGTGCTCCCCCATTCTGGGGAGGTGGGCTCGAGCAGCTTCTGCCTCTCAGGGATTGGCCCCCTCCACAGCTGCGATCACACCAGGACCAGGGGCTCCAGGCGAGACCAGCCCCCAGGCACTGTTAGGAAAAGAATAGCTCCATCAGGGGTCAGCTCAAGCAGTGGAGTCCCACATGTCCCATGGGCCTAGGAGAGGGGTGGTGGCATGATCAGGTAGGCTGGGTTCCTGGGAGTGAGCAAAGCCTCAGAGCTCTTCTCTTGGATAGTATCAGGGAGATCCTGAAGCACACTGCTGTCCTTAGCTCCCCTCACCTGGACAAGCACGCAGGTTGCAGAAGCGGAGTTCCTGGTATGTGGTAAGTATGTCAGGGCACCAGGGCCGGCCAGGCCCAGGGGGATGGAATGCTCGCAGGCAGTGCTGCTGGCCCACCCCGCAGCTGCGGGAGTAGGACTCCCATGGGGCCCAGGACATCCAGGAACAGTTCCCCCGTCCACAGTCAGAGCCAGAGCACGGCGGGG